AATCTGGGAAACTGTAAGATACTGGAAGCTAGACTTATCTGAAGGTCTAAGTCTTGTTGAGATGATGCCTAAGTCAACTACTGGTATTAGATCCAAAACTGAAAACCTAGTCTCCTGATTGTCTCTTTTTAGCACACAATGTGGTCAAAGAGCAAATCATTTACATTAAATGAAAAATAAGTATGTGTTATTTGAAGTTACTGCTTCCCAGTTTTTCTTGTGAAAGGGTTTCATTTATTTCTTGTACTATAAGTAGTATCCTCTAGCCTTCATGTTCTAGAATACAATGGTCCTTGTTATTGCCTCTCACTGAATTTGGTAGCCAAGGTCCTACTCTCAACTCTGGAACCCTATTCCCTGTGCTTAAAGACCAAAGGGCCAGGGCAGCCTGGGTGGCTCAGTGGTTGAGCCTCTGCCTTTGGCTCAGGGCATGATCCCTGAGTCCCGGGATCAAGTCCCACATCGGGCTCCCTGCATGGAGCCTGCGTCTCCCTCTGCCTCGGTGTCTCTCATGAATAAATAAAATCTTTAAAAAAAAAAAAACCACAGGGCCAGAGAATGTCCAAATTCACTAAAATCTATGTTTAGTAATGAACAAAAAGAGAAGAATTGAAAGCCCTTGTAAGGTACCTTTCAGATGACACAGCTCACGGTGTCAGTCTTTCTCTGCCAGCAATTCTGGGCACTAGTAAAGTCAAGTGATTTTTTTTTTTTTACATTAAGTTAGCAATGAGTGGCAAGAGCAATATGGTTGTGCCAGATGGTTAGTGTCTAAAATGGCCAAGAGCACGCAAGTGCTTCACTTTACATGCTGGAACTTTTTAGCAAATTCTACTCTAATTTTACCTAATGGAACAACACAATGTGTACTCTTCCATTCACACAGTTTCATTTTGTCATTTAAAAATGTATAAATTTAGGGATCCCTGGGTGGCTCAGCGGTTAAGTGCCTGCCTTCGGCCCGGGGCATGATCCTGGACACCCGGGATCGAGTCCCATGGGGATCGAGTCCCATGTCGGGCTCCCTGCATGGAGCCTGCTTCTCCCTCTGCCTCTATCTCTCTCTCATGAATAAATAAATAAAATCTTTAAAAAAAAATAAAAATGTATAAATTTAAAAAGTTCATACTTCTAATACAGGTTTTACACTTCTAGAAAATGGTGGGGGGGGCCTTCAAACATTTTCAGAGTTAATGCCAATAAGTTATTAATGTCCCACTCCTAGATCTTTTCTCACTTGATAGACCTTGAGTATCTTTTCATATCATTACATGGAAATTAATCTCATTCTTTTTTACAGCCAGGTAATGGTCTCATGTGTGGCTGTACTGTAATTTTCTTAACCTATTTCCCATTGATTAATATTTGGGGAAGTTCCACCAGCTTAATATTATACTAAAATTTTAGTGCATTTGTATAATTCTGTTGGATGCAATTCCTTAAAATTTAACTGATGGGTCAAAATATTTAACTGTTAACAGGTATCACCAAACTAATCCTCCAAAATGGAATACAAGTTTAAGTGCTCACAAGCACCAGACAAGAGAGTTGCTCATCCTTGCCAATCCAAGAATGAAAAAAAGTTCTCATTCATATTTTTATATGCCTTTATGTAAAAGGACCATTTGTTTTTTCTTTCATCTGTGAATTATTTATAGCTACTGCTGTTCTAGTGTGCTGTTTCTATTACATGTCTCAAAAGATTGTCTTAGAAATGATGGGAATAACTTAACTATATTTTGTAAACCCTGCTCTAAAACTTATTCGTTATAAAATACTAAGGACAAATTACTTTCTCCGGCAGTTAATTATACTTTTTAAATTAAAAAAGCAGATTACTGGGAAGTCTGGGTGGCTCAGTGGTTGAGCATCTGCCTTTGGCCCAAGGCGTGATCCTGGGGTCCCAGGATCGAGTCCCACATTGGGCTCCCTGCATGGAGCCTGCTTCTCTCTCTCTGCCTGTGTCTGTGCCTCTGTGTCTCTCATGAATAAATAAAATATTTAAAAATAAATTAAAAAGCAGATCACTTAGTAAATATAACTTCAGACCGCAAAGAAATAGTTTTAAGTATATTTTAGAGTAACTATATTGCATCTGCCTAGGTCTTCCATTTGGACCATAACTTGAAATGCTTTAAATTTGATCAGAGTTTTCAAAACATAACAGATTTCTTTGCATCATTGAATTTAAAATATTCACACTCTAGGTGTTTACTAAAATTCTTTAAGGCTAATAAAATACAAAAGAACAACAAAAAAGTCTACATGTACAATAAAAGTCTATACACGCAAATTCTGGTCATTTAAACTAGTGCCTCTCTAAAAAAAATTATCAAATCCCTAAGGTGGATGGGGAAATCAGCAAAAAATTTAAAAATATTCTAATTGCCTAAAGGGTATACTCAATTCTGTTTCCAGGTAAAAACTCAATTACCTTAACAGATATTAACTGATTTGGTTGTTGCCAAGAAAATGAAATTATATAGTGACATCCCACAAGCTTTGCTGTGGGTTAGATGCTAAAAGCCAACCACAGATGATCTCCCCAGGCACTGGTTATCAAGTAAAGTAAAGGTGATTTTGTTGACTCACAGAGGTGATTTTTATAGCTATTTACATGTTCTTATTAAGAACATTTGTCATTCTTTTATAGTTCTTAGGGTTTTTTTTTTCTCCCTTTTACTTTTGATTCATTTCAGCCAGTCATTTATACTCTGGACTATATATTATAAAGATGTAGTGGTCTATAAATGTAAATGGAGTCTTTATATATCCTATCGTGTTAAATTAAACCAGGGTTTTGCAACCACAGCACTACGGACACTTGAGGCTGGATAATTCCTTGTTCTACAAGGGCTGTCCTGGGCACTGTTGGATGTTTAGAGGCATCCTTGGTCTTTACCTACTAGATGCCAGTAGCACCCCACTCCCAGTCATGACAATCAAAAATATGTCCAGGCATTTGTTCAATGTTCTGTGAGGAGGCATAATTGCCCCACTCCCCACCCCAGTTGAGAACCACTGAATTAATCTAATTGTCTCTGGTTGATAGGTAGGTAAAATTAATGTTCTTGGGTGCTTGGCTGCATCTTAATTTTTCTATAATGGGAACTTTATTTTTTTTAAAAGGCAACAGAGGAAACAATAAAAGAAAAATTTAAAGAATTTGTCAGTAGGGGGAAAAAAAGAACTCAAACCATGACATTTTTCAGAAACTATTTTTTAAAGAAAAAAATCACCACCAACAGCTAGAAATAGGCTCTTTTGCAGGCCCCAATCCTAGGGTGCATGCAATCAATTTAGTAGATCAGGATCAGCATTGAAAAAAGGGAGAGAATAGAAAATGTGAGAATGCAAAACAAGAAATAAAGTATTAGTTAACAAAATACTTTTTTGGTTTATGTGCATGTAACTGCTATGATATAAAAATGTATTTTATTACTGTGGGTTCTTGTCAAATATCTTTAAAAATCAGATTTACAGCTACTGATTTTAAGTTACTCCAACTTTTCATTATTTTAAGTTACTCAACTTTTCATTATAATTTTAGGTTACTCAACTTTTCATTATAACAGCCCAGAGTAGCAAGAGTGGGCTCAAAATAAGTTAAAATGAAACAGAGGGAGGAACCCTCAAAATTCTGAAAAGCAGAGTGCTCAAAAAACACACATACAGCAAAGTGATTACAATCTAAAAACCAGTGACCAAGGACATTGGTAAAATTTCTTATAAAACGTAAAACAGGGATCCCTGGGTGGCGCAGCGGTTTGGCGCCTGCCTTTGGCCCAGGGCGTGATCCTGGAGACCCGGGATCGAATCCCACATTGGGCTCCCGGTGCATGGAGCCTGCTTCTCCCTCTGCCTGTGTCTCTGCCTCTCTCTCTCTCTCTGTGACTATCATAAATAAATAAAAATTAAAAAAAAAAAACACGTAAAACAAAAGGCAAGATTTGTTTTGCCTTCCTTCTGTATTTTCCACTCAAACATTAATGTGACCAAACCTTTACTTCTCCAGTTTGTTCTAGCAGACCCCAATCAAGTTTACCTATAAGAAATTAAAATATGCTGGCATATATATAGCCTTGTTAACTTTTAACCCAACTTAGAAGAAAAAGGTTTAGGCTTGAAAGTTTTAACATCATCAGTGGAAATTACAAAGGAATCATAGGAGTTTTTCTAATTAGACCAAATCCTAAGAGGATTTAGATCAAAATGCTTTTTGCTGTTAAATGATACTGTATATATTTGAACACATCTAGCTGTTATAAAACAATGTACAATATTCTTGAGTTTGACTAGCATACCCAAATATTCTTAATTAGCAAGATTTTAATTAAAAAACCCAAAAACTTCATACTAAAAGGCATGTTAAGTATTTCAAGTACTTATTTACTTAAAGTAATTTTAAGTCACAAAAGATTCATTTTTAAAAATCAATTTTTCTGAGATATCTTACCTTTCCGTTTTTATGCAGTCCAACAGATTTATTATTACTTTCACAAAGATAATAGTACTAAGATATATCATGCAGCCCCAGCACTAAAACAAATCAATTTTAGCAGCACTAATTCTCCATAGAGCACCACTTTCTAGCCGAGGCAGATTAACAACTGCAAATCCAAGAGACCCTATTCATAAAGTGGATCATCTCAAAGTAGAAGCAAATTCGTGAGTGTAATGCTTGCTTTTGGTACCTCACTTATTTTTCATTGCTCACGCTCTTTAGTGAAAAACAATACCAACAGCAAACAAAGCTCAAAAGGAAAACCCCCACAAATTTCAAAACGATGCTGTTAGTATAAAAAAGAAAGGCTGACACATCTCAAAGCGCCGATCAACACCATCATGCATCTACCGCTGAGGTTAAAGCCCAACGCCCGGTTTTTTACCTATTTGATCTTCATGGATCAGGCAAGGACTTGAAATCATCTCACGTGCAACAGTCTTTGCATAACACCCCATTTTATCCATGCCACAAAAACGGTAAATTTGGTAGTTACCAATAAATAAGTTGGGGGTCAAAAGGACTAAAGCCTTAGACTGCTCTTTATCATAAGATATCCTCAGACAAACCTCCCCATTCTTCATTCTGGCTCTATAAAATTAAGGAGCAGAGAAAAACTGGTAAGTGCCTGACTTTACAAAGAAAATGCACTCTGTATTTCCTTGGTCATTAGATCTATGTTTATAAACCAACTGTACCACTCCCCCATGTACTCCCCCTCAAAAAACTAGCTTAAAATAGGCACTTAATTGGTGGTGGGGAAATGTTCCAAGTATTGCAAAGAATGTCAATTTAGTAATCTCAGCATGTTGCACTTTAGTAATTTAAGAATCACGTTAAGTACCAGTGGCATGTTAAGAAAACCTGTGTTAAATTCCAGTAAACATTAAAAATTGGATAATGGACTGATATTTCTGGGCTTTACCCCCAAATTTAATTATGTATTCACAGAACCAAATATTGAAAAGAATACAAAGTTCACTCTAGAAATGTCAAAACTGAACCACTGTTTACCAAGTAACTAAGTAAAATAAAAAGGAAATCTTGGTTATTTAAACACAATGTCTGATATTTTAGCAATTATAATTTGAATACATACTTATGTTCTCATTAGTGACTATACTATGCTAATAGAAAATCTATCCACTGACTGTGCCCTGTTTGCCTATAAGATGAAGGACTACTTCAACAAACTACATGACATTTATACAAATTGAGTAAAAAGGAAATTTTAAAGAAAATTTTCTGAAGAAAATAAATATTCTTAAGGATAGAAATGTATATTTCACAAACTTTAAAGGGCTAAAATCTAAATCATTTTGCGATTACCATGTATCATTAAGCCAACAGATATTTTCATTAAAAATTCAGAAGCATCGTTGGTGTTTAGAAATAATCAAGTAAAAGACCTGAAACCAAATAGAAAAATCACAATACAAAGAAAAGTAGATTAAAATAAATTAGTTAGGACTTCTACAAGTTTAAGGCTGCATTTAGGTAAGTGTCTTTACAGCTACATTTACAAAATTGGAAGCAAAAATCATATTCATGACACAGACTAAAATTATAAGACCCAAAAAGCTACTATAAATCCAAGAGTTTTGAGAAATTCATTAAGAAATGATTTTTAAAATATATTATTTCTATCTATACATCCAATTTAAAAATACCAACAATTGATAATTTGGACAATGAAAACTCTATAAAATGGCATCTGTCTTAGGAAATCTACTCTGTTCCATATAGAAAAACCTCCAGAATGATGAATCTCTTTATTACTGAAAAACACAGAAGTTGGTACTGAAAACAGAAGGTTTAAAATACACATGCCAAGACAATATACAAATAGGGTAGGCAGGTGGGTAGACATGGACAGGGCTTAGTGGTCAATATTCCACTCAGCTCCCAAGTCTAGCAGATCTGGGTTTGGAATGCTAGGACCAGTCACTGTAACCTCACTGAGCCTCTACTTCTGCATTTGTTAAAAAGGTGCTCATGATCCTTCTCAGGGCATCCTGATGTTTAGCACAGGATGCTTCCCATCTAAGTGCTCAGTAAGCATCAGCTATTGTCACAGTTCTTTTTTGCTGTCATGGTGTCCAGACATGTTCTCATTACTGACTATATATAATATGCTAATAGAAAACCTACTTTATCAACTGTCTGCCCTGTTTGCCTACAATATGAAGGACTATCTAAACAAATCACAAGACGTTTATATAAATTGGGTAAAAGGGAAATTTTAAAGAAATTTAGCAGTTGGTGGAATGCTTTTTCTCATCTTATTCCACCGCCTACTTTATGAACATAATACTTACTCACCCGAAGATGTAAACATGTACCATATAGCAACATATAAATAAATCTATTTTAGGAAACAAGCATTTTGTCGTCCCTGGATTTGTGACAGTACGTTGGCAAATAACCTGAATGAGTAACAGGTTAACCTGAACGGAATCATCTGAAGCCTTACTGCCCCAAAAAGACTTTAGCTTGGCTTCAGGAAGGCCTTAACCTGCAATGTTCTAACTCACTCTAAACTTAGAGCGGACCAGCCATGTTCTGCCTCCTAGAGACCTGAATGGCTAAATCTAAAAAAATGGTACACTCAGACGATTGAATAGAAAATGTCTTAGTGTACTATCATTTTGGTTTATGTACAAAATATTAAGGTAGTCATAGATGAGAAATAGGGCCAAATCTCTCTTCTAAAGATATGAAACCGTAATTAATGGTAGTCAACTTTTTTTTTTTTTTAAACTACGGTGAGACAGGGAAGAAAAATCTTAACATGGACCACAGACATCCCATGCCTCTCCACTCCTTTCTCCTAAAGATACCAAAACACTACTTCAAAAAGGGAGATATTACTATTAAGATACTTCAATAGGGGAGATACACACACACACTCACAAATACAGACTTCTTTATCCTCAATAAAAACTATAAGAGTAAACTTAGTATATTTCTCATATTATAAATTCTATAGTAATTGTTCAGTAGAGTTTAAAAAACAATCCAGACACAGGAGAGATAAGTGCCGTAAACACTACTCTCCAGAAAAAAAAATATATATTAAAATTAAAAGGTGAACTTCAAGAATTTCAGAGATGTTTTAAGGCAGATGTAATTAATCAGGAAATGATGAAGAACTTGGAGGAAATACCAGGATCTGAGAGAGCAGAATACCGTTCCATAATAACGAAATATAAAAGTGAACGAGAAGAGATAAATATGAAAAATTCCCAGCTCCTGTTCTGGCTTGACCCTATTTTTAGAAAAGTCTGATTAGTAAACAGCAAAATAAGGAGGTCCTAACTTTAAAACCAATTTTACAATAGCAGAATATGAGCTTGTGGTCACAATATCAGACATTGAAAAAAATCTCCCTTATGATATATTTGCAGTCAATAATAATAATGATAAAGAACTGTGGCAAACCGTACACACATGAAAAAAGGCCTAAGCTATTTCACTACGGACAGTGGGTAGTATCAGGGCTGCCAACAACATTCCACTTTTTTTTTTTTTATAAGATTCCACTTTTGCAGATATCTTAAGTACTGTTTTGGTAGTTCAAGATAATACATGTACAATGTATTGTCTCCTATTTAATATATGTATGTTCTGGATGATATCATCCCAACTTGGAGTAATCCTCACAACTGACTCAGTGACTAATGAAGAGCCATTACCAAGGCCTACCCTCCCTCCCATAGAGGCACACAGTTAAGAGAGGTTTACTCTTCTCTTAGTTCACATTTCTGTTACAGCAGAAATGCTAAAAAAAAAAAAAAAAAAAAAAATTGGATTTAAAGCCTCCTTTAATAACAAAAAAGGTAATTAATGAAAACACACTACATTTTTATATTGACTAGCTCCTTCTCCTTGTATTATAGAGTTTTTATCTGATTAAAACCACAATTATTGCTAAACCATAATTCAACTTCGTATCTGAATTAAGGTATCCTTAAGTATTTTGAAAAACTTCAGAAATTGAAGGTCCAGAAACAACAAATATACAAGTAATCCAGGACAACTGTGGAAATTGGAAAGGGAAGGGGGTTTATCAACGGTTCTCAGGATATCAAGAGAAAATAAGGATGCAATCACTTGACAGAACATGATTTGCTATTTTAAAAGAGCAAAGAGAGGTGCCTGGGTGGCACAGTTGGTTAAGCATCCAAATCTTGGTTTTGGCTCAGGTCACAATCTCAGGGTCATGAGACTGGGTCCCAAATTGGGCTCCCATTCAGTATGGAGTCTGCTTGAGAGATTCTCGCTCTGCCTCTGCCTCTGCCTCTGCCTCTGCCTCTGCCTCTCCCTCCCTCACTTGTGTGTGCACGTTCTCTCTCTGTCTCTGTCTCTCTCTCTCTCTGAGATAAACAGTTAAATAAAATCTTTAAAAAGAGCAAAGAAAAAGGCCAAATACTTTTTAGTTTTTCTAACACAAAATTAGAGATTTCTACAAAAAGTGTAATTATAACACTTATCATTTGCTTGGCTACATTTGTGCTTAATGGACATGAGGTGAAAATATGAACCAATCTGGGATGAAAATGCCATAGTCTCACAGTCAACTGATTATCCATCCACACTAATGCAAAAAGGCATTACCTTCAGTAATTCGGAACAACGGATGGAGAGTTCTCAAATTACTGTTAGATGAATCTTTTCCTTCTTAGTCTGTCTTCTAAAGGTTTAGACCCTAGTGTTTTGGGGTCCAAAAACTGGGCCATCAATATGACAGACCATCTCTAAAGCAAACAATCCATCCACAGATTAACTAAGTTGATGTGACTAACATATACCCCAATCAATATACTGCACATGGACACTACATGCCAAGCATGCTTCAGAGTAATTTCTGAAACTTTAAGAATGAGAGAACATAACTGAGACTTCCCTAGCAATACCAAAACATGCTTAGGTCTACTAAAGAGAACTCCAATTAGCTTACCTCCTGCAGTAGATCAGCCTGCTCAATTGCTTTAAGGACATTTTTCTTGGATGTTTCCTGAACTTCCCCTCCCAAAAGAAATTCATCCAAAATAAAATAAGCCTTCTCAAAATTAAAGATGATATCAAGTTCACATACCTAAAAAGCAAGAAAAACAATGTCAAAAACTGAAGAAAGCAAAAGATACTTACCCACCATTGGGTAGTGCATAAAATCTGATCAGAGTGAATCGATCTTAATTCTTTCTAAAAATAGCCATCTTGCTAATAACTAAGCATCACTGATTTAGTCAGCTTAATTGTCAAATCTCAAGTACTTGGAAACACAATACCTACAAGCTAAGTAAAGTAAGACCTGATTCTGGAAGCTCCCAACATGAGCAACTTAATAATTCTCTATTGATAAACACTGATCTTTTTAAATACACATTTCTTAGATAATGTGATTATAACTGCTTACCAAATCTAAATTCCATACAAAGCACTTCCAGAATATTAATCTTTGCAGCTGAACTCCTTCCTGTTTCACTATTTTAAATCTCATTCTCACAACCATCATTAAATGAGTAGGGCCATGGGATCAAGCATTCATTCTGGCAGCTGACTGAGCACGCTAGCAAAAGACAGTCAGCCCTTCCCTCTCCTGCAGTTATTTTTAAACAGTCAGAATCCCCAAGATGATCAAATAATAAACTTGTTACAGAAAAGATTAAAAAAAAAAAGACCATGGCATTCAATTTCCTAAAACAAAATACTACTCACGCTGCCAAAATACTTGTCAAGTAATTCCACATAACGATGAATTATTTCCAGGGTAATTAGCTCATTGTCCTGATCCTCGATAGCACAGCAAAAATACAGACTAGCATATCTGTAACAAAGCAAATGTGGAAAAAATTTTACCCTATAATCATGTTTTCTAAATATGTTTTCATACCCTATTGTGAAGGATCCCATGCTTATACAGTTTATTTCCCCTTTTACAACAGTATAGATTCTTTCCCTCCTGGATTACAAAAGGAATGAATGTTGGGACGCCTGGGTGGCTCAGTGGTTGAGCGTCTGCCTTTGGCTTGGGTCATGGTCCCAGGGCCCTGGGATGGAGTCCCACATCAGGCTCCCCGCAGGGAGCCTGCTTCTCCCTCTACCTGTGTCTCTGCCTCTCTCTGTGTGTCCCTCATAAATAAATAAATAAAACCTTTAAAAAAGGAAAAAAAAAGGAATGAATGCATGTAGTGTTTCAAAAGTACAAAGCAAAAAAAAAAAAAAAAAAAAAACCCACAAAAAACAAACCCAAAAACAAAAACAAAAAAAGGATCATTCAATCATACCATACAGAAATCTTCTAGAAAGAGTAACTCATTTTGCTCTTCTTTCAGGCTCCCTTCTCTGAATATTCTAAAACATAGCTGGACCCGATTATTAAATATAATGAAAGAAATATAATTGTCCTATATTGTATGAAATATAATACACTTACTTAATTAAAACAAAATGCACCGTGTGACTAATTCAAACTACAAGTAAACAGGGAAGAAGATAAACTTTCCGACCAAAGGACTCACTGAAGATATTATCAACATGAAGGCAATGCCTGAAACATTTTGTTGAAGTGTAATATACAAACAGAGGACACAGGTCATATACTCTTGGTTTTTTTCTTTTCTTAAAGATTTTATTTATTTATTCATGAAAGACACGGGAGAGAGAAAAAGGCAGAGACACCGGCAGAGGGAGAAGCAGGCTCCATGCAGGGAGCCCAACGTGGGACTCGATCCCAGGTCTCCAGGATCCCGCCCTGGGCTGACGGTGGCGCTAAACCGCTGAGCCACCCCTTGGTTTTCAAAGTAAACCCACCCAAGTACCAGCACCCTAAGAAACAGATTATGGAACTCCTGAATCCCCTCTCCTAGCCCCTCCAGGTCACAACCTGCCACCCCCAAGGGTAACTACTATCTTGACTTCCCATGGCATAGAACTGTTTTTAAAAACGAGGTTTCTAGGACTGTGGAATAAACTCCAAGATAAGAACAGTTTTAAGTTATTACAGAAGTTAGAGAAAGAGAACAGGGGAAACTGTGACCTGTCGTCAAATTTTCCAAGGTCTATCTGTTAAATGAAAGTTTAGGTTATTTACCCTTGAATAATAAAATTGGAAAACTCATATTCTCTTTCCAAATTAGGATTCTAGCACATGGGACTACATTATACTTGACCCAAGGAAGCCAAAACGTAACATATAACCTTGAGGCATAGCAAACAATGATCAAGTCTTTTGAGGATTAAAAGAGCATTTTCAAATGGTTTAAGTGTGTTATAAAGGCTGTTGAGAAAAACAAACCAACGCTACCAAAAAACCAGAACATTCTAAACAAGTCTGTTTTGACAGTAATTTTCACTGGCAAGCATTTAAGTGATTTTTCGAAAACACAATGAGCAATTACTGTTCATAGCATTAACAGAAAATAATACACACACAATCTCAGTTTTGGAATTCAATGAATTCCTACTCTTCAGTATGAGAATGTCTAATATTTACAGAATGCTCTATTAATATCAATGCTATGGGGCACCTGGGTGGCCCAGTGGTTGAGCGTCTCCCTTTGGCTCAGGTTGCGTTCCCGGGGTCCTGGGATCGAGTCCTGCACTGGGCTCCCCGCAGGGATCCTGCTTCTCTCTCTGCCTAGGTCTCTGCCTCTCTGTCTCTCATGAATAAATAAAATCTTAAAAAAAAACCCACTATCATCACATTGATCAAATAAAGACCAATTGGGGATCCCCGGGTGGCTCAGTGGTTTAGCACCTGCCTTAGGCCCAGGGCGTGATCCTGGAGACCCGGGATAGAGTCCTGCATCAGGCTCCCTGCATGAAGCCTGCTTCTCCCTCTGCCTGTCTCTGCCTCTCTCTGTGACTCTCATGAATAAATAAAATCTTAAAAAAAAATAAAGACCAATTATTTGATCTTTCCAACAGTAAGCACCATAATCCTTGATTACAGAGGAAGGCAAAAACAAAACAAAGAAAAAAAAAAAACGAGGCCCAAGAGTATAGGATCTGCCAAGTGGTTGGTCTAGGACAAGAAATCTGATCTTCAGACCTTTTCCCACTCCACCTTAGGAACTCCCTCATCATACACAGCTAGACTTTATTGCCATGTCCATTCTACCTGACTTATACATTAAGTTATTCAAAATGGTAGGTCTCTTGTAGGCTTAGAGAGGAAGCTTTCAAATGTGTTCATTTATTAGCATGAAGGACATAAGAGGGCACCACCTCCAACTTTATTTTTTAAAAAGATTTAAAGATTTTATTTATTCACGAGAGACAGAGAGAGAGAGAGAGAGAGAGAGAGAGAGAGAGGCAGAGACACAGGCAGAGGGAGAAGCAGGCTCCACGCAGGAAGCCCGACGTGGGACTCGATCCTGGTCTCCAGGATCACACCCCAGGCTGAAGGTGGCGCTAAACCGCTGAGCCACCTGGGCTGCCCTATTTTTTAAAAAGATTTTATTTATTTATTCATGAGAGACACAGAAAGAGAGAGGCAGAGACACAGGCAGAGAGAGAAGCAGGCTCCATTCAGGGAGCCTGATGTGGGACTCGATCCCAGGACTCCATGACCACGCCCTGGGCCGAAGGCAGGCACTAAACCGCTGAGCCATCCAGGGATCCCCCACCTCCAACTTTAGAGTGCTTCCTCTCCTTCTTACCCTGTTTTGTGTATCTGTTTAAAAGGCAATGAGGGACACCTAGGTTGCTCAGTCAGCTAAGTGAACCACTTTGGCTCAGGTCACAATCTCCAGGGTTCAGAGATCAAGCCCTACACTGGGCTCTACACTGAGCATGGAACCTGCTTGGGATTCTCTCTATCACTCTCCCTATCACCCACCACTCTCACCCTGCTCACGCAAATTCAACAATCTCTCTCTTAAAAAAAAAAAAAAAAAGCAATGGAATATTCCAACCCTCCATCCTCCCTAACCCATGTTCACCAAATAGTTCTGAATTTGAGGAAACTGATACAAATAACATGTTACAAGTCCCCAAATCAAGAAAACTAAAGATTAAAGGAACTGATATTAAATAAAAATGGTAGATAAGATAAAAAAAACAGACCTGACTAGCTGACACAAACAGAGTGCTATTTAAATAATCTCATTAGAAGGAATGTATTAAGGGGCGCCTGGGTGACTCAGTCAGTTAAGCATCTGCTCAGGACATGATCCAGGGATGCTGGGATAGAGCCCCAGAGCCCCACATCTGGGCTCCCTGCTTAGTAAGAAGCCTGCTTCACCCTCTCCCCCGCCCCTCCTCCTGCTCATGCTCTCTCACTCTGTGCTCTCAAATAAATTTAAAAAAAATGTTTTTTAAAGAAGGAATTTAGGGAACTCCTGGGTGGCTCAGCAGTTAAGCGTCTGTCTTCGGCTCAGGGCATGATTCTGGAGTCCCGGGATCGAGTCCCACATTGGGCTCCCTGCGTGAAGCCTGCTTCTCCCTCTGCCTATGTCTCTGCCTCTCTCTCTCTCTCTCTCTCTCTCTCTCTCTCTCTCTCTCTCGCTGTGTCTCTCATGAATAAATAAAATCTTTTTTAAAAAAATAAAATTAAAGAAGGAATTTATTAACAGTGTAGGGCAAACTTTCTTTTACTCTGAATGTCAGCATTTCTACAATGCTACTGTTAATCTAATGCTTGCACCATCCTTGCTCCTTATCCACAGTACGGCCTCCTGAGTTACAAATAAACAGTACTTATTCAATGGTGCTTAATTGTGTGAATCATTTAGAACTATTAATTTAATTATCACCAGGAGTAATGTGTCCAAGCATCAACCATTATTTTTAAAATCCTGCAATATAGGGGTGCCTGGGTAGCTCAGTCATCTGCCTTCGGCTCAGGTCATGATCTCAAGATCCTGGGATTGATTGAGCCCATCAGGCTCCCTGCTCAGCAAAGTGCCTGCTTCACCTTCTCCTGCTGCTCCTACTTGTTCCCTCTCTCTCAAATAAATAAAAATAAAAAAAAAATCCTGTGATGCCAAAAAAAAATCCTGCAAAACTACCTAAATGTTTGCTTTCACTCAGAAAGGAAAAAGAGTTATCAATTAAACAAATATTGTTATAGGTGAACATCCAGTTATCAGGATTATAAGGCACCTGTTTATAGAAAGCTTGGAAGAAACAGAATAGTTAACAAATAACATTCATAGAGCCCTCACTCTGAGACACTAAATGTTAGCCGAGGCTTTACCATTTTAATCCTCACAACAACTCTTCCAGAAAGATACTGTTATTAACTTGCATTTATAGGAGACCCAGGCTTAATTGAGTAACGGTAATTTGACTCCAAAACCCAAGTTTCATATTAAAAACTACAGCCAGGAACTGTATTAAATAAAGTAATCCTGCACCTGGCAAAAATTAAAACTGAATAAGCAATATTTTAAGAGTTTTGAAGAGGAAGAGAAAAATTGTTATGCTGATTTAGTAAAAGACTATCAAGAGAACTGAAGTGTACCCCTATTTTTAGAACCAAATGCTTTTTAAATATTCAATTTTGGCTTATTTTGTTCTCTTAGTATATATTTGTAAGTTTAAATCTGAAGTAAAAGTAATAATAGACTAGTAAGAAGAAAGGTATGTTTGGTTATTTTTAGCAGAGTGGATTAAGGCTTACTCTAATTACTGGCACTCAGAACATCTGAAAGTGCCTATTCTTATATTCAAAACACATGACTTCTCCGCAGCCAGCTATGTGTCAGCTGACTGTGCGTGAATGTAACTAAACTATTCTCAATACCCACTGGTATGTTATTAAAAATTCTTTTGTTAGTAAAGAAAATACAGTACTGTGGCAAATTCTCAAACTAGTAATTTGGAGATATATGTATTTTTAAATTCACTGAAAAACTTTAATCTAGTGCCTCTTCCATAACATGCTGCATAAAATAGGAATCAAAAAAAGCATACAGTGTTAGGTCTTTTTCTTTCCTTTTTTTTTAAGGTTTTATTTATTTATTCATGAGACACAGAGAGAGAGAGAGGCAGAGACCTAGGCAGAGGGAGAAGCAGGCTCCCTGGGGGAGCCCAACGCAGGACTCAATTCCAGGACCCCGAGATCATGACCTGAGCCGAAGGCAGATGCTCAACCACCGAGCCATCCAGGTACTCCCAGTGTTAGGTCTTTAAGAAGACACACACAAAATGACTTGTTCAAAGTCACAAAACTAGCTAAGGGTGCAAATCAAACAGAACCCAAGTCCTCAGATTTTCAATCTATTTTTTCAGCTATATTCTTTTTTTACTTAATTTTTTTTAATTTTTATTTATTTATGATAGTCAGAGAGAGAGAGAGAGAGAGAGAGAGAGAGAGAGGCAGAGACACAGGCAGAGGGAGAAGCAGGCTCCATGCACCGGGAGCCCGACGTGGGATTCGATCCCGGGTCTCCAGGATCGCGCCCTGGGCCAAAGGCAGGCGCCAAACCGCTGCGCCACCCAGGGATCCCCAGCTATATTCTTCTTATCCACACCTCCCCCAACCCTCTTCCCAAAAGGGGGAATGTTATGAGAAATGTTCAGCAAGAAGAATGTGGCTGAGACAAATGGAAGAAGGAAGACCTAAAGAGATCACTTGGTGATAGGAACAGCAACAGGGCTGGTTCAGAATTTCTCTCAGAAGCTAAGTGAGAATTCTTTTGCTTAAAAGGTCTTCTCTTCCAGCTGGACTAGGAGAAAAAAAAATCACCTGTTTATATCAACAAAGAATATATGAGGTTTTCAGTATGAAATGGGGCAGATGCATAGAAAAACAGATTAAAAATTCTAACTTCCGCCTTAAAATAAAAATTCTGCATGTGAATTTTATCTCAATAAAGTTTTTTTTTTTTAAGGGCACCTTTTATTTACAGGCACTTGATACAAGTATCAGAATGGGTTAGATTACCCTTTAGCCTTTAAAAAGAAAAAAGCTTGGCCCAACATGGGTGGGCTGAATGCTGTATGCGGGAACACCGGAGAGCTTGCTTTCCTTCAGCATAACAGGCCACTGCCTTCAGCTGCAGGAATCTCGATTTCTGGGATTGATTCCCTTGCTGGTATTTTCCTCCTCCACACGGGGGACTCCTTCCCCTATCTAGAAATAAGCTTAAGTCTCTCACACCTTTTTAAAAACCCTGTCCCTCGTCTATGGGTGGTTACCACCTCTTCACATCTGACAAAGCTCCCAAAATAATCTACATTTGCTGTTTAAAAGTCTCCACCTCTTCACACCTCGCCCCATTTCTTCGAGAGTTGTTTCTACTATTTCACTGAAAATGTTCCGACAAATGGCATTTTATGAACTCTCACTGTAAAACCTAATAGATTCTTTCTTCACTTTGTTTTTGCAACATTTGGCACTGGTGACTTAATTTTCAAAACTCTCTCCCCTTCCCTGACATTACTGACCCTATAACTTACCCTCTCCCCGTCTCCCTGCCCCTTGAATGTTGGTGATCTACCACTTTATGCCTGATTTCTGCCCTGACTTCCACATCCACCCCGAGCAAACTAGGCATCTCAGTCACCGTGTCTACTACCTCACATTTACAATCAGCTCAACCAGAAATGTGGAATCACTGCCTTCCCTGTTTCTAGCAGCGACCAAGTATTGTAAAACTTACCTTGTAGTAACAGCTCATTCCGCCTGCTGAGCCCACAGCAGTCTTCCTTCAGGGCTTCACTATAACGCCAGGGTCTCCTAAGGGATCTCTCCAGGCGGTGGGCCTCAGCGCTCCACCACCCCCTCCCCGCTCCACCCCATTCTCCAATTACAAAGATCCTTTCAGAAATGTGTATCTGCTCTGTTTTCATCCCCGTTTAAAACCTTCCCCTCTCCACTTAATATCTGTTTCTAGCCCTCTTATCAGTCACTAACTAGAATATGACCTTGGGCAAGTCACTTCTCCCAAATTCTTCCTTTTACAAAATTGAAGTTTAATCAACAGTGGCGGTTTTAAAGCTCATGAAACATCTCCTATGCAGAGGATGCAGGCCAAGGGAGCAGAGGTATGAGATCCCAGTCCTGTTTTCATGAAAGCACCTCCACTTCCACTTGTTTCATTTAAGGTTCTAACCTTGGGACAAAAAGCTTTATAAAAACAATCATCTGACTAGATTATTCCAAGACCTCTCTCAGCTCTAAAATGCTGAGTTTTCTCAACAAGTACTAAACCCAAATCACCCAAAGATGACTAAATTTATTCTACTGGAAAGAGGAGTTAATGGTATTGAGAACATTCTTAATGTCCTATAATCCCCATTACCTCCTCTGCCACCTCCCTCACAAAACACCTGTCCACACCTAGAGTGGAATAAAGGAAAGAGAGAAAACCCAGACTTCTCTTCAACCGTCCTTGCAGCCCATACTGTTTGTTCCCTGCACTTCCCCTACAGAAGACAATTTTTATATGCAGAAACACTCATCTTACACACAGTAAATTATGTGTAAGACAGGGAATATGGAGAAGAAACAAAGTAATTATATTTCTTTTAACCTGATTAGCCTAATCTTGAGAAATATATTTTAGAGTATTAAAAGACTTGCATATAATAAAGATGTACATTTTTTAAAAAGCTTAGTGTTCAAAGCCAATGTGAGTCATTTTGCAACATCAAAAATTTAAAAATCTATTCTTTGCAAAATTATCTATCAGATCTAATAATACCTCCATGACAGCAACAAGTGTTCTTTGAATAAATGCTAACAAAGAAATCTTGTGTATACACAAAGGTTCAAAACCTCTATATGACTAAAATGGTCTATGTATCCAAGGTGTTCATAAGTAAGATTCTAAAAGTCAGAAAAAAGGCACGTCAGCTATTAGTCATTACTGTATAGATTTTCAAGAAGGGGGTAGAGGGAAAAGGCTTGTCTAAATTCAGAGAATTACAGCATTTAAAATACAACCCAATTTTCACCTGTAAAGAAATAAATTCATTTAATTTTTCTAAAAAGATTATTAAAAAGGAATAATCATTTATGCCTTTAATCACATAATTAGTTTTAAATCGACTTCTGATTTTATTTTTTGACTGGGTAATCAATCAAAACAGCAGTTATTTTAAAGACATAAAGCTTTAACTTAAACCTTTTTCATGTAAATCTTTATTATTTATAAATGTCATCTCTCAAAAAAAGTCTGCCATTACCACATTATACATGACTGAACATTTGATCCTACTATTTTACCTATCTGATAAATAAAAATTATACCTTTTGTAAACAATCTTCAGATCACGCCACTCAAGAAAGCTGCACATTTTAGGTTTCCGTGCTAAAACGGTTTGAACAAGTTCTCTTGTAATCTTTTTCTTCTCTTTGTCTGATAGTGGGACATACCATTTTTGCAGTCGAAGCTTTCCCTGACGACTAAAAAGCAACATAAACTGCATCTGTTAAGATAAATAGAACCAAGATTACATGCAACACTTTGACTCCGTAAAGATTAAGATGACACATTTCACAGAGAAGCTTTGGGGCCACGACCTGTAACTGACCAATGATTAGCAGCCATCAGTATTGCTATGCCAGTTAAAATAGCAGGAAAATTCTTGTATAAAGATCTTCCCACCAGATGCAAATTTCCCCACCCCACCCCACCCCACCCCACCCTGTTCCACCTAAGTGTGGTAAGCAGCTTGTAGCAGAAAAACAAAACAAAACAACAACAAAAACCCCAAAAAAACCCAGGTAAAGAGCTGAGTGAAAATTTTGAGGAAAAAGATAACACCTGCAATTTAAGAAAACTGTCTACCTGTGCTATACATTTCACACTCTCTGTATGATATCAACTGGTTTAGATACATTTGAAACAAACAGCAGATCTACTATTTTTCACCAAGGCTGTTCCAGTTCCAGGCTGAATTACTTGTTTTCAGACAGCTATCACTCAGAATGCTCTCTTTAGTTTATGCTTACATATTTTAGGGAAAACAAAAGATCTAAAATTTTAAACAAAAAAACCCCAAAGATGCACATTTTTCTTAATTAGAGCCTGATTTTTAAGTTCCTCTTCTCATCTTCACTTAAAAAATTCCAATATAAATAGGCACACAATAAAGAAGTGGGTTAATGTAACAATATGAAAAAATATAAACCTTTAAAATGCCAAAATTGAGTCACACACATGTAGAGACATTATGCAAAATACTTCATTTAAAACAATTTTTTAAAAATGCATCTGCACATGGAGTGGATGTTGAATTCTAGTATATTTCACTTACACTATTTTGTATATATGTATTTGGAACCTCAAATACGTCAATTAGTTTTACATGTTTAATTTTAAAGGGAAGCTTGTAATCCAACTGGTCTTCCCAAATGCAAACAGGTATGCATTGTTTCTAACAAAAGTTCATTTAAAGGTACAATTCAGACACTTTTTTTTCTTGTAACTGCTATAAGTTCCTTTAACAGGGTTACTACAAGTAAGATCCCAACCCGATTCTTAATATGCATCATACCATCTTAAATTTGAATATGGGGTGGGGGAATTAGCACAGCCAATTTAGAATAAAACCGGCTGTAAATTTCGCTAAGAAATTATTGTCGCTTTTTGTACTAATCCAAACGGGCGTCAACAAGATATTTAGAAATTTATGATGTGGCAATTTAACTTCATTAAAGTTAAAACAGTGGTATTACACCTCACTTAAAACCTGCACCGGCACAAAATAAACGATGTTCTTGATATCAAAGTGCCTCCCATACAAGTCGTGTTAGGACAGCGGCGTTCGAAGGGGGACAGCAAGTAAAGCATCACCTGGACGTTTACTGCAAACCCGTTACCAGAACTTTAAGAATAACAGACCCCTGTATCAGGACCCTGACGACCCGGACGGGTGGCGGTTTGCTTTCGAAAAGAGCACGAGCTCCAGGCGGTCTGTATCCCCTCCCCACCACTTTACAGACGAATGAATAACACACTCTAAAATAAATTATGTGCTAACACGGGACGATCCCCGGTTGCGAAGCACAAGTATTCCTTCCCTCTGGTTAAAAAGTAAAGCTTTGATTTTTGCCACAAATCACAGGGCACCTCAATTCCTCGAGATTGGCTACTAAAAACAATAGGCTCCGCCGCGGAGCCGGCTCAGGGCCAGCGTTCCTCGGTCCGGCCGCGTCCGACGCCTCCCCACCGCCCCACGGGGCCGCACTCCCATCACTGACCGAGCCCGGGTGAGGTGACGGGCTAGGAGCGGGGCAGACAATGGCATTGGCCGCCGCGCAGGGGGCGCCAAGGGTCCTCCGCCGCCCCCGCCCCGGCCGCGGGCCCCTCCCGAAAATGCCCCGCAAAACTTGAGGTGATTCCCGAACCACAGGTGCCGCGGGGCCCCCCGCATCCCCCGGCGCGGCGCGGAGTGGAGAGGGGCGCGGACACCGAGAGAAGTGAGTTGCCGGGCGCCGCGAGCCACTGGCGGGCCGGGCGGCCAGGCACCGGGTGGGGTCGTCGGGGCGCCCGCGGGGCGGCGGAGGGCGCGCCCGACCCTCCCTCCCGGCTCCCTGTCCTCGACGCCCCCGCTTGCCCCCCGGGACTTACGGCGGCCGCGGGCCGCGGGCGCGGCGGAGCTCGGCCGGCGGCGGCGGCGGCGGCGGCGGCGGCGGTGCCGGCGGCGGCTGAGGGGAAGCCCCTGTCGCCGAGCGCTGGAAGAGAAGCCGTGTTGCTGTGGGGAGGGGACCCAGCCGGCGGAGGAAAGGCTTAGGCGGCGAGGGGAGGGCGAGCCGACAGACCCCGCCCCGTGGGCCGGACGAGGGAGGAGCCGGGGCTGCGGCGAGCGGAGGGGCGGGCTGGACGACGCGCGGGAACCCGCTAGGCCGTCGCCAACGGCACCGGAGGCGGCGCGGGCGCTCGCACCGTCCGAGAAAGCCGATTGGCCGCGTCCCTACCGAGAGGGGTGGTCTGGGCCGGAAGTCGGGCCACGTGACCCGGAAGCGGCTGCTGCCAAGGCCGGCGCGCCTGCGCAGGCCTGTGCGTGCCTTCGGAGCTCCGGCGGGTGGCTGCTGGGGCTCTCGGTGGCGGGAGGACGGGGTTCTGCGGTGCCCTTTGCCGACCCCGCTGTGCGGGGCAGGGAAGGTCAGGATCGCGAAGAGCCAAGTTCGAGCCCGGATAACTCTCCGCGCCCAAAGAGGGTGGGGCAGGGAGGCGTGGCTGCCGTGATGATGGTGACGGGAAAAAGGGAGTGCTGCACCCCTGGGGAAAACAAGCCTGCTCCGAGGTGGAGCTCGTGCACGCGTTCCGAGCGCCTCTTGCAATTACTCTGCCTCCAAACTGCCTGGAATCCAGCTCGTCCTGCCCATCGCACTGCTCCAGCCCTAGACACCTTTTGCCCCAAGCTGTGCAAGTGTCTCTTCCCTGGCTTGCCTCGCCTGTCCTCAGTGCTGTGGAACTGATGAATTACTGTCCGTTCTCTGCCGAAAAGCCCCGACAGCATCTCGTCTTTGAGATCCCACTTCCTTCACACGGAGTCGCGTCCCCCACCCCCACCCCCCACCCCCAAAGCCGCCTGGGTTCCAGTTAGCCTTGCCGAAGACTTGCATTGCCCGGCATGCACTTCCTCTCAAATGTTACATCTATGAAGCGTCACCCTCAAACCCTGTAAGAACGAATCCCTCTTTCACCCACATGTTCATTAGCCTCTGTTTAGCACATCTTGAATTTTAATCGTGTTGCATTCCCCACGTGTCCATTTGCCCCGATTTAACACGTCTTGAATTTTATTCTTTTTGCGCCCTAACCTAGTTCACTGCCTGGCATATAGCACATCTAATAAGTGGGAGTTGACTGATAAGGACAATAAAATGATAGATTTGTTAAGAACGATAGTGCTGAGCATTGTGCCTGGCACATAATGGATATCCATATTTTTTTGAATGAAAAGAATGGATGAATCATCTAGTCCGACTCATCTTTTACAGATGAGGAAAGGGGAGCCCCATAGGATTAAGTGACCTTGCTTGAACAGCCACGGGTTTCTCATGTCGAATGCTATTCATTACCCCAGTCACCTAGGTTCTTACAAAGGAAGCTGGAAAATTGCTTTTGTTGAGCTGTGCCCTTTTTGCAGAGGTTCCCAAACCTAGTCGCCAGAATTTTTTAATGGCCCAGAGTCAAAAAGAAATGCTACGTTTTTCACGAAGCTGACTTTAATCAATTTAAAGGAATCCTTTATTAGAGATTGTTCTTTTTTTTGTGGTGAAAGGTCTATAAAACTATGATAGTATATAACAGGGATTTGAGAGCTTTTTTGATGCCCTTATTTGGCAAAGTAAAAACGTATAATACCTCCCCTTTTAAGCACTACTGTACTGCTAGGAAAATTTCCTACAAATATGTACAATAATGTATACTGGACTATTAAGTGGTCAACACAAAGCGCAGAGCTGACTTTCTGTGGTCTTTAGGCCCCCTGCCCAAATTTCCCTCACTTCCTGAACAGTCATGCCCCAAAGTCACATGTTAATGTCCCATTTCTCCCTTACTAGGTAAAACATGCCATTAGTCAGTTCAAAGATGGATTGAAGACTGCAATGAAAACTTGCCTTCTGAATCCAAGTGCTGTTTTTCTCTTTCTCTATACAAAGCACATAAATCCTCAGTGTTCCTAGCTAACCACCCCCAAGTTTAAAGTCATTGGTTATGCTCCTAATGTTGGTCTGTGGTTCTGAAAATGAAGACAGGAGACTTGCTGATGACATATTGGCAGTCTCTGGTGCTCCTAGCCAAGAAAAGGTGGGGGTGGAGGGTAGAGATGGAAAGGAATTATGGGAAAAATAATTAGCAGCTGAAAGCAGCTATTACATAATGTTGGCTGCTTATTAATTTAGAAGAAGGAATGGCTTATTAAATTCTAATAGCAACAGCACAACTGCAAACAACCTAGCAATTAACAATGCAGGGCCCATTATTTTGTTGATATGTCCTCTTTTTTTGGCAAGTGTATAAGAACAAAATTTATAGAAGCAGATGGTCTTTTTCAGTAGATTATAGACGGTTTTTCCCCAGTCTTAGTATTAAGTGCTAATTGTGCATTCACTGTGAAAGACAAAAGCACTATTACTGTCTTTGTTAGTAATTAACTGCTTGACTTTGATTCCCACTTTTTCCAAATTGTAGGCTTTCTTATATACATATTTCTTCTCACCTAGTATCTTCTTCATCTGTCATGTTAATAGGGTATCTTTTTTCATTCTTTGCTTTTGTTATCTGGGCAATCCTGATTTCTTGGTTGTTAATGATACAAAAATAATTTTTTATGAAAAATTAAAAATCAGATTTTATACTTTTTTTTGTGCAGGAGACATTTATTACAAAATCATTTCTCATGGAACAAGAACATGTACTTTCATGGTGCAAGGTTGCCTGATGTTTCCCAGGTTTCAATGGCCCAGGCAGATAAAGGAAATTCAGCAAGATCAGAAGAAAGAAGAACAGATCTATCCTTAAGTAGGAAAAATAACCGTGTCCCAAGTATACAGAAGGGAACAGATGAAGTATTTCTGGTAAACTTTTATTTATTTTTTACTGAGGTATAATTGACATATAACATTATAGCTTCAGGTGTACAACATAATTTGATATTTATATTAGTGAAATGATCTCACAATAAGTCTAATTAACATCACTTGTTTCTTTTAAAAAAGGAAAAAAAAAGTACCTAGCTTTCATTTATGCTAAATGCAAGAGGTGAGGGTGGAATAGGGATTTTGCCTTCTAATGATAAAATTTTGAGACTTTTAATGTAATCTTTTAAAAGTTTCAAAAATAGCTTTAGTTTCCTGTTAAATGTGTGATGGCCGTATGTTTTTATCTCCTCTTCCTCTTAAAATGCCATTAAATGAAAAAAAAGAAGGAATGTTTAAAGTATATACCCACATGGGCAATAACAGAGGGGACATTAGCATGAGGATGTCAACAAGGATGTCTGGGTACACTGTCAGCTCATTGTGAAACACTGATGATTTAGGTAAAAATTGTAACATATTTATTTTGAGATATGGTGGAGCAGACATGAGGGGATGTTGAAATAATGGTGAATCCTCATGCACTAGCAGTAAGAAAATAGATAATATCTAACATAAACCAAAAAGTAGAATTATTAGTGTATTCTTTAGATACCAGGAAGTAAATTCCAAAAGCAATCGTGACTTTCTTTCCAGGGACAGAATCTTGAGGTACGATGTATTAAAGGCTATTATTACATTTTATTTTAGTGCAGGTTCTACTTAGATTGTTTTTTTAAATATTGTAATGAAGTAGATAAAAACTTCTGTTAGTGTCAACACTATATTATGGACTTGTACAGTATTCCTTTAGCCCCATCTATATGTTATTTAGAAATTTTTAAAATGCCTTGTAATGTAATTCAGCACTAAATCAGCATAGAAGATCATAATAAGTATAAAAAAGATGCTCAGAGTTTGTGAATTTGCATCTCCAAAGATAAACTGATTCCAAGGAGAAAACTGGCCTTAAATAATGAGGATTTGTGAACCAATCATTTCAAATAGATAGAGCTGTCACTACCAGAGCCCTCAAAGGTGAGCTAAAGACAAATGTGGGCATCCACTTTTCCCTGAAGCCTATTTCCAGGGCTTTGAATAAAATGCAGGAAAATGACTCTTCTTTTAGTATTAGGCTAGAATAGTGATTCTCAACCTAAGCAATTTTATCCCCTCCTTCCCTAGAGGACACTTGGCAGTGTCTGGAGACATTGTGGCTGTCATATTGGTGCCCAGGTACAGGGCAGGTGGGGGTGCTGCTGCTGCAGCACACAGGACAGTCCCCTACGGAGAATGAACCAGCCCCAAATGTCAACAGCACTGAGGCTGAGAGGCTCCAAGTTAGTCACTGAAAAGGTTAGCATGCAGTAACCAAGCTCTTTTATAGATATTTCAAGAAATGGAACACGCATTATATTTGCATAACTTTTTTTCTCTTTCTTAGAGGGGTTGGAGGCATTCTTAATATCTGATAGCTAATATTCTTAACTGCTGAAGAGACTGGCCACCTACATAAGGCAGTCAGTATTCTTTAATAGTAACTAGAATAAACTATTGAAATGGGATTTCTTTCAAAGCGACCCCAGAATGTTAGTGGAAATTATTTAGAACCTGAATCCATGAGATGACTATTCCATCCATTCATTCATTTAACGTAAATGTTTATTATGCTGCTTTTTATCTTTATTTTTTTGCTTTATTATCTTTATTAAAATGGTTTACTATGCTGGCCACTCTGAAAGATAATGTGGATACAAAGATGAGTAAGATGTTGACTGTACCCTAAAGCTCTAAAACCATTTCTCTTGACACAGAATTTCATGTCTTTTGGTGACTGATTCTAGGTGGTTAGAGGAGCAGTCACCAGTTGAGCATAAGAATACATTTTCTTTTGGGCAGTTCCAAAAGATGCTTCATAGAACCTTAGATTTCCATCACTGATACCTTTAGAAACTATTCACCCTAATAACCTCCCAGGGCTCTTGGTGATCTTTTCATTCTGTGAGTTTTCCACAGAACTCTTAATTCACAGCAACATAAAAAAGTCAATGTGTTTTCAACAAAACAATTTCAAATAATATTCTTTTGACCTGGTCCTTGGAATGAAATGTTTCAGCAGTAATCTAAATTAACTAGACTAGTGGTTCTAGGTTATTCTCTATAGGACTTGTGAAAAATGCTAGATTTTTGGGCCCCCTCCCAGAGTTTCTGATTCACTGGGTCAGAGGTGAGG